AAGCCGCGTGACCGTTCGCTTTCGCGGCCGGGAGAGAAGGAAAACGGGCGGGGTCGGGCGGGGCCCTCCCGGCGACACCACTCGAGACCCCTGAGATGCACCGGATGGATGTTTCCAGAATGCAATGCGCCGCGGCGCTTTTGGCGGCGGCTACGCTACCTCCAATCAAGCCCAATGCAACACACAAACGCACTCTCGGCGGCGGCGCCGTATTTACCTGCGTGGGAGTCCGCGCTGAGCCCCTACGGTTGAACACAGAGGACTTGGATGTCAAAAGAAGGAGCGGAAGCGAGCGGGCAAACGTCGCAGGACGACCGATCGCGCCTCGGAAGCGACGCTGAGCTCGTGGGTGCCGCTCGCTTCCAAAGCGGTCGTGCATTGAATCAAAAGTCGGTCACGCCCGCGTTAGTCTTTGCTCACCACACGGCCGGCGCGGAAGTCAATAGTGACCCCGCTTGGTCAAATGGACCTCGTCACCAAGTGCAAGATATTAGGGAGAAAATCACATGCCGCACCGGGTCAGTCCAAGCGGACACACGTTCACGCGTTTGTTGGTAGACTTCAAAAAAAGGGGAGAACAAACCGAACTCTCTCTGTGTGTGAAAGGCTTCAAATGAGCGGCGCATCAAGTGCAAAACAGGCCCCGAGTCGTCAGGTCAGAAAGCAAGCAATTGGAAATATGGGGACCGGGGGAGGGGCGACCCGGGACGCGCCACTTTGACACCGGCAAGGGGTCAGAGCACAGCCTCGAGCGGGCCGGTTGGGGGGGCGTCACCGGGAGACCAGCTGGAGAGATCCGAAGACAAGATCGAGGCCGCCGCCGCGGTTTCGGCGCCAACCGGCCAGCGAGCGACGGCGTGGACTCTTTTGTTTGTGTTTTGTGCTCTTTCGGCCTACCTTGATGATGTCCTCCGCTGTCCTCTCCACTTCTTTTAATCGCTTCAGAACCACTTCCTCATTGGCCGAGATGTGGAGCTCCTCCGTCTCCAACGCCTCGATCTCTTTTTCCATCCTAATGAATCAAACGGCAAGGCTTTCAGTGACATGCCGCGAGAAACGCATCGTCCGTCCGTTCAACTTTCTCCTTTCTGCCTCTTACCAAAGTAGCCATTTTTGTGCACGCGTATTTACTGGGAGCAGAAGAGAGAGTTTTTTTTTCAGGGCTCGGACCTCAGCGATGGGACGACGGGCGGAAAAAGGCCGACAGGCTGCGCAAAAGCCGCCTCGCGGTCTTTTCAATCCGTCGTTCTCGCTGGATGGGGAGCGTCCGGGGGGGGGCCGACATTACAGTTCTTCCGTTGAAGTCGGCCAGCGTCAAAGTTCCCCGAGGCCGGATGGGATGGTTTTTTTTTCCCGGCCACCCACGGGTCCTCGACTCCAAGTAGCCACCCACCGCGCTCACGTGACACTCCCCCCACCACTGAGATGGAGGAGTGTTTGCGGTCCTCAGCCGGCGAAGCACCACGTGGCTTGACAGCATCCCAAGCATGCGGGTCTCACGTGGGGGGGGGCAAGACTCCGGAGCCGGCGCGCTGGGCTTCTTTGGCGGATGGCGGCGAGGCCCGTTCGGAGTCGCGCCGATCCCGTTAAAGCGCCGGACGCTTTAGGCCGAGCCGCTGCGGCTCGGTCTCAAGGTGTCGGCAAAGCTTCTTGGTAGGCCCGACCGACCGTTCTTCTTGTCGACTCCTCGGAGGGCTCGTTTTCAACATGTTGGGGAGCGCTTTGGGATTGCGCGCCAGAGCACAAAAGAGCAGCAAAACGTAAGCCTTCCCGCCTGGGACTTTGTAAGCCGTGAAAGCAGAGAGGGAGGCCGGCCCACTTGGATCATTTCTTCCATCCACAGAGTCAACACAGTACAGAATGGCGGCACGCGATACCAAGTCAGTGAGTGCCTCCGATTGACCTGAACTGAAAGACTGACCTCCTCCTCCTCCTCCCCCCCGACGACAACAGAGTGATGTTTGGGGCGGAGCCCGAGAAAGGAGCAGCGGCAATAGTGTACCTGTCAATATCGCTCTGCAGCGCATCGCTCTGTTGCCGTTCGTCCTGAGCCTGAAGCCTGGCGGCCTCCTGCTCCTCCTCCGATTGCGGACTCAAACCGTCCATCAGCCACTGATCCCTCAAAGCCTTCTTCTGTCAACGAAAGCAAAGACGGGGAAAGGTTAGGATGCCCGCAGCAAACGTCGCTTCCATCCATTTGCAACTTGACCAACCGCAAGCGCGCTCCCAAATGTCAATTGAAAACGCGCACTCACGACGAGCCTTGTTAACATATTAGCGGGTCGGCAGAAGGAAATTTGCCGGTTGAAAAACGCGGGCGGGGCATTTGAAGCACGCTCCCGACCCGAGACCGGCCGGCTCGTCCGGTCTTCAGTGGCGCCAACGGGCGTGAACGTTCAGATGCGAGGAAACGGTGCTCATTATTTTCTTCCTGCCATCGGGAGGCCAGTTCATCTCTTGCTCGAGATTCCCGTGTCATCGGTAACGAGCGGGGCCTGTCGACGTCTCGCTGTTATGAAGAAAACAATTTGAAAAAGACCTTGATGTATTGGAGTTTGAGCTTCTCTTCCTCGACGCGTCTTCTTTTCTCGGCAATGTATTCCCGGATTCTCCTCTTGTCCTGCGGAGGAAAGCCAAAGGTGTTGACGCCCGCCGCGTTCCGGTCGGGCCTTCGAGCCGGAGGTGACGGCCGGGAACGGGGCGCCCGCGAGCGTCCCCGAAAAAAGTGACCCGGACTCGACCCCCCCGCCCGGATGGAGCTGCGGCGCCAGCTCCCGCTTGGGGAATTTTGATTCACGCTATCCGAAAAGAAGGACCCGCCGGCGGCCTGAAATTCTCCCCCAGATGCGGGATTGGCGCGGCACGACGCGCCCGTGAAAGGAGATCTCTTTCCTTTGGCCTCCCGGTATTTATAGACCTGGCTGACATTGGCCGTGTGTGTCAAAGACGGCGCCGGCCGGCTGTGGCAGCCGACGGCGGCGGCACCAAAGCCCCGACGCCGTCTTCCAGCAGGTTCTTTGGGTTCGTTTTGGTCAACGTGGCGTTTGACTTGACGAGGACGACCCGGCCGTTTGGCGACGCGGGTCAAGCAAACGCGCGGTCGGGACTCGGAGCGGTCGGGTTGCGCGCGGGAAGAATCTTTCATTCTGCTTCGCAATGAGGAGTTGCAATTGGAAAAAATGTTTGGCGGCCAAGGGCGATATGGTACGATTTTGGACGGAGGACGCTCCAAGCGTCCATCCGGCCCCCGGCGGCAAATCAAAACGCGGCCCTCCACCTGGCGCGTGGGAGCGGCGCGACGCCGCTCCCACGCGCGACTTGCCGCGTCAGCGTTTTCTCTTCCCGCGAGCCGCGTCTCCTTCCCGACCGCCTACCGGCAAAACGTCGCGCGCGTGCGGGGACCGAATCCTACCTTTTCTGGCGGAGCGGCTGACCGACATGGCGGTGCGCGTCGGCTGAGCAAGTACAGAGCAAAAGAGAACGGCGTCCCGAGGAGGCGCTTACCGTGATGGCCTGGAGACGTTCCTTCAGCAGCTCTTTTTCCTCCATGATGGCTTTGGCAACGGCGACTTATCTGGAAGACAATTTCACAGGCCGCGTTGCCGTCATTTTGGCCAACCTCTGGGACCCGAGGTGCCAGCGAGGGTTTTTGTTGTTATGCAAGCCCGTTTATCTTCAGCGCCCTGCACGGTGGGTCCCAAAGGCTCCGTCCGATTCGGATACTTGACAGCGATTACAAAAGAACTGACAACATCCACGGCTGAAAGAGTTGTGGGCTGCGTTCGCCGACGGACAACCTTTGGATCGTGCGGAGCCTTTTCTATGCTGCTTCTTCTTTCTATTTTAAGTGATCTTTTGGTTGTCCACCTATCGAGATCGACGCGGTGTCGAAAGCTGATGAGGAATGAAAGCAAATCGGAGTTGTTGTTGCCGGTCAAGGTCACGCCGCCGTTTGCTTGTCCACCTGTTGGCACCGCCGCCGCAGTTTGATCCGACAGGCTAAAAATACGAAAGCTCCGCGGCCGGCGGTGCGTCGGCCCCGGCGAGGAGAGAATGTCAGCCGCTTAACAGCGGGCGAGGAAATCTCAACATAAGAGGTCCGTCTGGCGAAACGGAGACACTGCGAAAACTCGAACCCGCCAACGCTTGGCCGATGTCTACCGATGAATGAGACGCTTCTCCTTTTGGGCTCTGGTGAAGAAAGTCGTGGTGGCGCTTTGGTAATTTGAACGGCGGCCGACCTGTCGGTGATCTCGGCGTCCGGCGCACGTGACGCGGCCCCGACAGCCTCCCGTCCGTCTGCCCGCCTTGCCGCTCGGTCCAGGTCCTCCTCGTTTGTAATCTCTGCCGCGCCCTCCTTAATCTGATCTGCCGTGGATTAAGCGCTCACACGTTTAGCGCCACGGCGCGGGTCTGTCTCCGGCGACGTGTTTTTCCCGAGTCGGCCTCGAGCGGGAGGGCTCGCGCCCGCGCTCAAAAAGAGCAAGCAGGAAAGGAGCCCAAACGGGTGGATTTCTCCCACGCGTTGCAGTAACGGCACGACGCATCCCCGACCAACGCCGTCCGGCCCCGGCGAGCGGACGCAACTTTCTCCTTTGCGGCCGGAGGAATGACACGGACCGAGGTCGGTCATTCCGAGGGACGTCCCGCTGAATTCTTTCGCCAAAAGCTCCCGACTGAAGGAGGAGCGTGCCGACGTCATCGCTCAATCGCCCTCGCTTGACCCACAAAGCGTATCGGTTACGTGGGCGCGCGGTCCGATCCATTTTTTGTCGCGCACAAGCACAAACGGTCCTCCGTACATCTCGCGGTGGCGGCGGCGGAGGCTCGTCCTTTGAACAGAAGAGGAGTCGATGCGCCCAAGCGGTATAGCAAACGCACGCGGGGTCACGCCGTTCAGAAAAAGAGACGCTCGCCGGTGCCTCCGCATTCGCGTTGACGGGAGGCCGCGTCGAGCCGACCGCACGTTGGGCGCGGAATGCGCCCACGCCAAAGGAAAGTCGGACGTCCGATATGGTCGCCGCCCGCCTGCGGGTGATTCAAAGCGGTCGGGGCGTCGGAACCCTGCCGAGATGCCGCCGACCGTGACCTCCGCCGACGACGGCCTCGGACCCGAATCCTTAGGCGGGGGTCACGGGGACTTGGGCTTTGAGCCTCAAACGTGCTGTTTCACAAGCGCTAACTCGGAGGTCCACTCACCCGGCGGCTTGCGCGTCCTCGGGCCGCTTTTTCAAGAAGTCACTCCGAGCGTTTCCAACATCGAGGCAGAGTCGTCGGGGATTGTGTCGGCTGAGAGGAGCAGGCGGAGAAGCGAGGCAAGCCCGACACCCTCCCTTCCTCAACTCCCTCCCTCCCTCCCTCTCTCTCTCTCTCGCACTCGTGGCGATTGCGCAAATGGGCTGCCCCAAGCCAATCCAAAGTAGATCCAGACCCGAATCTTCAGATTGTGCCTTTTGCTCGGCGATCCAAAATAGCGAGGGAACTGGACGCTTTGCGCCTGCCGTTTTACAAGCACCGTCCTACTTTCCAGCTGAACGTGGACGGGCTTCTGTTGCCATAGCAACAACGCCCACTCCACTCCGAACGAACGGAGGAGGAACCGGCTCGAAAGCCGAGATGTCGTTCGCGACGGTGCGTTCTACTTTCATGGCTGGAATACGTCGGCCAATTGGAAAACATCCGGCGTCTCGTGCCTTTGACCATTTCCAGGAATCAAACGGCCGCCAACGACGATGCGAACATTTCTTGGTGTCAAAACGAGAACGTATCAACATGTCAAACACGTGCACAGAGCGCCATCGTTCCGAGACATTTTGGCTCCGATTCTGCCGAGGTTTCCAAATGGATGCGGGAAGGACGCGAGATGTCCTTTTGGGTCCGCGTCATTCGTAGTTGGCTTTTGTTTCTTCTGTGAACGAAAGGGGGTTTTCGGTTCAGGGGCGTTTGATGAGCGAGCGTCGTTTTTCTGCATTTGGGCAGTGCGCGGGAACGCTTCCCAAGGGCGTGACGGCATTTTAGCGCCGTGCGCAGAGTATCTCGGAGGTTGACGGCGAACGACGCGTCTCGTGGCGTCCGCTCGACGTTTTGAGCGAAGGTGAGCCCAACAAGGACATGGGGGCACGCCGCCCATTTCGTGAGCAAACTTTAATCATTTCGACAACGCACAATTCATCGGCGACCCCGATCGGCGTGCTCGGTCTGAGGACGTTGGATTGCTTGGATACATCTCGGTCTACATTTGGTGTCGTCAAAACAGACAAGATACATTTGTGATTAGAACCACGGATAACAAACGTGAGATTATTAGCAAAGTACTCCGGACGAGATCTTTTTTTCTCCCCTTTTCCCAGTCTTTTTTTTTTTTTTTGCCCCCCCCCCCCCCAATAGTGCATAGAATTCATACAGCGGTCAAATCACAGTGTCCATAACCCCACATTTACGACACAACCGATGGCAAGACAAGACGAGTCATGCAGAGTTTCCCGCCATTGGATGGACGTGGACTAGCGAGCGTCTTCCCTTCCCTTCTGCGGCCGGCAGTTGTCAACGATCGCCGTCACCCGATCGAACGGAATGGGAGAAGCTCGCTTTCGCTCCGGGGCCGGCACGGCGAGACTTTCGGAGACGAGAATAGGACGACATCCCGGAGGGCGGGAAAGCAGTCACCGAAAATCCAAGAGCGGCACGAGGAGAGCAAACGACGCGGGCGCGCCGACACACCCGGCCCAGAAGGTGCGCGGCAAGGAATGCTTTCCCCGCCCACGCAGAGGTCAGCCTCGGGCCGTTGGCTGCCGAGGCTCCTCCTCATTGGGAGAACGGAACGCTCGCGGGCACAAGCCGTACGGGGGAAAGAGCCGAGGATTTTCCAGTGGCGCCGAGATCTAAGGCCGGAACGCTCCCCAAAATCGACTCTTAACGAATGCCATCGGGATCGGACGGGCAGAGAGTCCGAGGTACGGCTCACGCTCGCAGCGCCACGGAGCGCGCTTCTTTGACGACGGAAGCGACGCTCGGCACACGTCAGGCTTCATCCGCAGAGACGGAAGCGCGGTTTTGGCGGTCGATGCCGCGACGTCGTCGTTTTGACGTGGATTTTTCAAAGGTAAGGGGACCTTCCGGTCATCGAGGCCTTCTCGCTGCGGCAACGGCGCGGCCGCGTCGGGCGCTCTCACCGCACAAACATCCGCGTCATTCCTTGGCCGTTATCCTTTCCCTCCCTCCGCGGCGCCTTTTTGCCGTTTGGATCTCAAACTTAGCGAGACGATTCAAATGAAGAAAGCACGAAAGAAAATCCAGCGACGGCGCCGGTAAACGACAGATACAAAAATGGTGGCTACAAAGGACGCGGTGACGAGTCCCGGCGACAGGTCAAAGGTTGTGCTTCAGTTCACGTGGACAACAAGCGCATGCGACGTCAATCATTCGACGGGGGGGGATCGACGCCGTCCGAGGAACAGTCATACGGCGGCGCGCGCGCGGCGGCATCGGGTGCTGGAAATATGCCGGCGCCGTTCCTTCGCCAAACACCACCGAGGCGCGTCTCCGCAAAGTACTTGACGTGGCCCTCGTGTTTGCCGCTCGGTCGGCGAAGGGAAGAGAAGAAGAGGAAGACTGCGCGCCGGCTGCGCTGGATTGGGACAAACTCCGCGTCCTCGCCATGTTTTCATCTCTTTTGCTGGAAGCGGGACATGCGAGAGAAACGCGCGTCGGAGAGTCAAGCCGAGTCCACCGCCTGGCGGTGACCTCGCTCCAGTCGGGTCGCGTCAATGCCGGGCGGGCATTTTGATTTTGTCAGGCGCAGCCGGCAGCCGGTTGGGGTTTTGGGGCAAAGCGGGAAATGAAGCGGGGTCGATGAAAGGGGAAGCCAGGGCCCGAGCGCGAAAGCCCCCTGAAAATCAAGCTCGCCGCCTCGGGCCCACATTGCGGTCACTCGCCGCGTTATTCCGGATGGGGCCCGGACGCGCCCTTGTAGAAAACATTTCGGGTGCTCTCCGGGCTGTTTCCTCGCTCCGGAATCAGGATGACGCTGTGGCCTTTTCGCCGCAGCGTGGATTCCCGACTGGAGGCGAGCGAGGGCATTTCTGACGCCGCGTCTCCGCCGCCGGCGTCCCCCGGAGTCACCCTGATGGTAGAGAGGCTCTGATGATGGAGCGCGTCGCCGCCGTGAGCGCGCTTGCCGTCCAGCGAGCCTTCTCGCAGGGAGTCGGAGCTCTCCGAGTCCCTGCCGGGATCGCCCAGATCGAAGGACTGCCTCAGGGTCCCGCTTCCCGCGCCGCCGTGATCCAGAGATCGCCAGCGCCACGATCCGCTTCCGTCGGTGGACGGAGCTTGGATGACCGGTTTGTTGTTTTCGGGGTGCGCTTCGATTCTGACGATGGCTCCGACGCCGCCGCCCGGCTCCTTGTCGGCGCAGGGGGCCCCCCCGTAGCGCGCCGAGCCCTGGGAAGCGCCGCCGGTGCCGCTCTCGTCCAGGCTTCTGGAATGGGCCTGCAGGAGCCCCTGCTGCTTGGACATGGCCATCACTTGCACCATTCGCGGCTGGCTTTTCTTCCCTTGGTCATTGTTGGGCCCGCAAGCGGCGGCCTTCTCGGCCACCCTCTGCCAGTGAGTCTGCGCCGGGGCGTCGGCCCGAGAAAGACCGTCGCTCCCCGCCGCCGCCGCCGCCGCTTTCGGGGAAGCGCTGTGGTCATTTTCCTGCGATTCCTCCGGAATGTGGACCAGCTGGGAGGACCCGGGTCGGGACTGCATCAACATTCTCGCTCCTCCCGCGATGCCGCTGCAGTTACCGGGCGAGGCGGCGCCCGCAGCCGCGGCCAGTTTGGACAGATAGGCGTGAGCGTCGAAGGCGGCGTCCGGACCGGCGGCCGGCGACGGTTCGCCGACGGCTCGCGCCTCGTGATGGCGAGGGTGCTGAGCGGGCTGGCCGGCGACGTCTCCCGGGGGCGGGAGCTGGAGAGGGCACTTGTGGTTGTTTTGACTTTTCCACTGCGACAAAAGCTGCTTGGAACGGCTGGAGTCCCGGTGAAGGGTGGCGGCGTGACGCCTGGCCGCCTCTTCGTAGGCGGCGATGGCCTGCGGCGTGTGGACGCGGGGGAGGGTGTGGCTAAAGGTCACCGCCGTCTCTTTGCCCCGCGGGCCGCGGGCCGAGATCCCGTCCGCGTCTCCGCCCGAGCGCTTCAGGCCGTCGTCGGCCCGCTGCTGCGGGAGAGCGCGACGGAGAAGGCCTTCCGACGGGGCGCCGGCAACGCCGGGCTCCCCTGACGCGCCGGCTTTCATTTGCAGCTGATGAAGGACCGCCTCCTGGCTAATGTGCGCCAAGGAGCAGGTGGGGCAGTGGGGCTGGGCAGGGAGGCCGCCGCCGCCGCCGCCGCTCATCTCTTCGCCTGGGAGGAAATTTCCAACCGCATACAGGCCCTGGTCACACAGACCAAAACATGCCGTGGATGAACCCACACTGGATGACGGCGGGCGCCCTACAATACACCTTCATTTCCAAGCGCTGCGACCCCTCAACTCGTTCCGGACAGCTTCAGCTTCACCTCGACACGGATGTTTTGCGCTCTGTGCAAGACGGGCGCACGGCTGCTTTGTCGCCGTTGGAATTTGAATGGATGAAGCCAAGTTCGTGAAACCCTTTTTTTGTTGTTTTTTTTCTGCCTGCTTTCATCTCTTTCCAGAGGGGCAATTGGCCACTTGCAAAGAGAAACTCACAACAGGCGAACCGCAAAGACTTTCATCACGACCGCGACCACGCAGCCGCTAAGCCGACAGAGGACATTTGTCTGGCAGGAAAAACCGTCCATGCCATTCATGAAGAAAATCGTTTCTCGAGTAGCCCGAAGATTCCGCCCCCCCCCCCCCCTTGCTTTCAGTCGCGCAGATCTCGTGAAAAGTTTTAAGACGACAACAGAGGGCGCTTTGGAGCGTGAGCCGCGGCAAAACGATGAAGGAGGCGACTCGCCGTTTGACGGGGGACGACCGCGTCTTTACGGGTTCCGACAAAGGGAAATCTTACCAGGTAGACGGCAATGGCTCCGCCCAGCAGGAATCCCAGATAGACGTCGACGGCGTGGTTCTTGTACTGAATGATCCGAGTCAGACCGCAAACGATGGCGCAGATGATGAAGGAGAAGACCAGCAGGGGCTTGAGCAGTTTGGACGAGTCCGTCAGCGTGCTGTTGAAGTACATCTGTTGGCACGGCAATCACCTTGAGGAATGCGCGGGATGGGACTCGTCGCCACAAAACGATCAGGTCGGGTCGCGGAGGGACCAAGTCACGTGGACCTCGGAGTAGGACACGCGCGTGCGCCTTTTTTCGTTTTGGGGGCCTGCCCAATCACCGATCTTTTCTCCTCCTAATCTTTCGGAGTATCGTGCCAATCGGTGACAAAACATGACGGGGAACGCGCAACACAACAAAATCAAACTAAGACACAAATCTCAATTTGGAATCCAGACGCCCCAGGCCCCAACACACACACACACACACACACAAATTGAATTGATAAAATCCATCTCTCTGTTTTTTCCTCCCTTGAGCCCAGCTACAAACATGCAACATGTTTCCCCATCCCGCATCGGTGGAAAGCAAAAGGTCCAATTTAGTGGGGAGGAAACATTTCAAATGGGGGCGAATGCAAGATTTGCGTGGGCACAAACTCACCGAAACGTACACAGCCGCAAAGGATGCCAGAGTAGCGTGTTGGGACGGGAAGGACTTTCTGCAACGCAGAGAAAGATCATTGCGTCACGGCGCTACGGGAACCGCGATCGCGACCGCGGCAAAGCTCCGGCAACAGTCGCTTCGGGGCAGAGAGCGCGTAAGCCTGCCGGTTGTCGGACATCGCCGCCGCCGGCCGGCGTGACGCTTTTTCCTTTCGGCGGGTGGCCGGAGCCGTGGCGTCCCCACCCAAAAATGGCCACGAAGCAACGAGGAGCATCGTCAAACGTCACGAGGAAGCGGACGCCGGACTAAAAGCGGACGGCGCCGAGACGCCGTCCGTCTCGAGCGCTCTCCCGATACGATTTTCCCCGATATTTGCAGCTGACCTGCCCCGGTTAATAGCGGCGGCGTCCACCCCGGAGCAGATATCCTGCAGGACGTAAGGGTTCTGCTCGCAGCTGACGCTCAGAGTGGTGTAGTTGGGCTTGCACACCGTGAGGAAGTAGGGCGCCGGGTAGCCCGTCATCAGCTGAAGGAGGTCTGTGATGAGGGCAGTGGCACAAAGACCAAAGGCGTGAACGCCTGAGGAAAACGCAAAGCAAGCGTCAACGTCGCTCCTCGGCCCAAAGCAAACACAGACAAACACAACGAGAGGCGAGCGGGTTAGGGCAAGCGAGGCCGCCGTACCTACAAAACGGATGGCTCGACGAATGAACGAGTTGAAGTGGCAGCCGGCCGCGTTGAGGTTGGCCTCGCCCCCGCCGCCGCTCCTTCTTCGAGACAGACAACAAAACAGGACGGCCTCCCTGATCATCATCTGCGAACGGACGCATTCGAGGAGAGATCAACAATCCGGAGGCGTCGCGGAAAAGGCAATTTGAAGCGTCGCCGGCGGGCGCGGGTTTGCCGCCGCGGTCCGAACGGCTCTTTGGATACGGCGCCGAGCGGAGCCTCCTACCGTGACGGCGGGCCCCGCGAAAGCCAGGCTGAGCAGCACGGGCAGGGGGATGACCTCGTGGTTGGGGTCGACGTAAGGGAGGCTCAGGCTGCGGTCGTGACAGTTGAAGCCGGACTTGACCGGCTTGAACAAATCCGTCCACTCCAGGAAGTACAAGCTGACCATGGATGACGCCAGGATGGGCAGCTGCAGCGGAGCACAGCGGCGGGAGACGCGCTCACGTCATCGAGGGGCAAATGCCAAGAGAAGAAAGAGAAGGTTACCGAGGCGCCGAGTGCCACAAATGCCGCCCCCCCGCCACCCGTCAGGCTACGCTCCATTGACAACCGCCGTGGATCTCGGTTCCAGATCGATTCAGTGAAATAGAACAGAAAGCGGGTGAACACACTCCGTCATGCCACATCCGTGGGCCAGTATTAGAGGCAAATCTCCAATCGATGGCGGCGCCGCCGGCCGCCGGTGAATTAGAGCGTGCCGAAATTGCCAAGCTGGAAAAGAGAGGCGGTTCAGGCGGCCACCGCAAGCTGCGGCGAATCGGGACGGGAGCCTTGGAAAGAAAGAAAGTGGAAGCCATTCGTGGAGCGCCTCCTCCCAAAGGTGGATTTCTACTCTTGTCAAAGCCTCCGGCGCGCCGTTCAACCTGTTGTCAGGTTGAACAGCGCGCTCGATTGCGCTCGGAGGGCCGCTTGTGACATGTGCCCGCGTATTAGTGCATCTCCGTCAACCCGCCGCAATTTGGCTCCCAATTTTCGCACTTAACTTGCTCCCATTCAAATGGACGCTTCTTCGCACGCGTCCTTTTCAAAGAACGGTCCGAAGCGATGCTGTTTCGCCAACGAATAATACCAAGAGAACCGATCACTCGATAGTCCAGTTCGATGCGTTTCGGGTTGAACACGCCAAAGCGCTTTCCCACTTTATCCTTCCCGAGTCCTGAAAGGCTTTTGGCCTTGGTGCCCTCCAATCCCCTTTCCATGCTCCCTTCTGTGATCTCGACGTATTTTGCCGCAAACGCCGAATGGTTGGCGCGTGGCCGTTGAGGCTTTGGCTTAGTTTACGTTGCTGCAATTAACCCCCCCCCCCACAAAAAAAAAAACAAAAAAACCAAAACGTGTTCACTTCCTTTGGATTTGAGCTCCGGCGGCGGCAGCAGCGGCGGCAGGTCTCCCCATTCGGCCGCGACTGCGCTCGAGAGGTTGCCGTTTTGGCGTGACCTACATAGTCCAAACGACTCCCGCCACGCCACGCGCTTTTCTTTTCACCGTCGACGCTTCGTACAAACGACGAGCGACCCACCTCGACGAAATAAAAGCAGGGCAGCAGGCTGACGCTGTCCTTGCTCGGAATGGCTTTTTCCCTCGCAGACATGGCCGGACCGCCAGACGTCGACGCCGACGCCGACCCGAGATGATGCGCGGACGGCTCCGCTCGCCGATCAGCAGCAGCAGCGCTCCATGTCGTCGTTTCGACGCGGAAGCTCGGAGCGGACGTTCCGTCCGGACTCTGCCGGATGGCAAAAAAAACAAAGCCCAAAAAGTGCCACCGACACCACCTTTTTAACCTCACTTTCTTTTTTTTTTTTTTTTTGAAGAGTCTCGCTCGGTTCCGAGCACGTTACACGCCGGGAGGCAGGCACAGCGCGGACGCGGAGAGGGGGTGGGGGGAAGACACCACAACGCGCATGCGCACTGGCTATTCTCTTTGACGTCGCGCTCCAATTTGCGCCGCCAAGATTGCTCAAAAGCATTTTTCGAGCCCGTTTCAAAATGTCTGACATCACTTTTGGAAAACTTTTTTTTTTTTCCTTTTTAAATTCCATTTATAGAACTTGCACAATCTGCATTTCCCCATGCTTTGGAATTTAGAACGAAAAAACAAATCCACCTGTTTCCGAACCCAACCCTTGCTTCATAAATATTACTCAAGATATGAATATATCACAAATGATATTACTGTTGTTTTATTATTATTTTTGTGAAAAGCTGATGTGCTAGAGAAAAAAATGAGGGCATATTCAGAATCAGCGCGCGCACACACACGCGCGCGCACGAACAGAGTTCCCTTGCATCAATGATGAAAAAATTGGGCAGAAATTTGCTGACCGGTGTCGTTTTACGACTTGGAACACATTGGAAGTGTTTGAGCGCACGGCCCTTGCTTCAGCTGACGAGAGAGTAAAAGCGCAAGGCTGCGAGCTGCGTCATGATGCTCGTCGTCACGCGTTCTCCAGCGGAGCCGATTGTGACGCTCACAAAGCCCCGGTGAAAAGGGGGGAGGAGGGGGTCGACAAGTGCGGTGTGCGGCGTTTCCCCCAGATGGCGGTCATGCCAAGTGGATGAAGGAACGGCCCGGGCCATTTACACCCACAAACCAATCCCGAGAAGGTCACCGAGAGATGACGCCAAGCCCAAAAGAAAAGACCCAAAAGAAAAGCAGGCTTGCTGATTCACAGCGCTTGCTGGTGAACAACAAGCGAGCCTTTGACACAGAGCGAACGCTTCTTCAAGAAAGACAAATAAGAGGCTTCACTCCCGATTGACGTTGCCTGTCCAACTCAACGTCAAACTAAGAGAATGACAAGTTCTTTTCAAATCAAGCACGCGATAGTGGCGAGCGGACAATTCAGGTTTCAACTCGAATAGCACCCGGCGAAGCCGGGCAACGCCACGCGGGCAATTTCCCCCTGGAAAGTCTTACAAAGCGCTCGCGCCGTGGACAAGGCGCTCGGGTTCGTACGACAGAAAACAAAATGGAGCAGGAGAGGCCATTCGCATCCAGTTCTGCGGAGGCAAATCTTTGCGCGCAGCGAGAAGCGGTTGATCCGCTTTTCAACGTGCGGCTGTCATCTTGCGTGCTTTGGCGTACGCCTCGTTGCGTGTGTGTGTCTGTGCGTGCCAGAGATGCGGTCCCGGTATGTGGGTCACGCCGCCGCCTTCAGCGTCGTCGCGCTTCAAAGCGCAGCGGAGACATTTCTCGTCTCTCAGCAAATGCTTTCATTCCTCTCCCATTTCCTTGGAGTCATTTCGCGGCGGCCATTTTCTTTGTATGCCTGCGATCTACTTCTTTGTTTTGGGCTCATCGACGCTTACAACATTGGCATCGTCGTCGAAATAACTGGCTGATTTCAATCACACGTAGGACGGGGAGGATTTTGGTCACTTGGACCGGCCTCTCGTCCAACGGCGGCGTTGGTTGATGGTGGCGCGGACATCGACCGGAAGCCGGTCGCCCAAAATGAGCCGGCGGGTTTTGGGAGGCGTGAAACAAACGCCGACTTGCAGTTCCAGGGGGAATATCCCCAGAGTCTTGGATAGCAGCACGCGGGAATGGCGCCGGCTGACCACCGCGGTCTCCCGGCGGGTCGGTTTCGGGCCGAAGGCTCATCCGGACTTGGCGTCGATTCCTCAGCTTCTTTGGACCGCCGTGGGATCCCTTGCCTCGCTTGCCGAGACCTTGTAGCCTTTCCCAAAGGGGGCGATTGCTTGTTTGTTTGCCGGATAAGGCGAGGGAAGAAAATCCAAACCCAAGACATGTTTTGTTTTGTTGGTATCGGACCCGCCCCTTGAAAGCAGCCAAGTGAGGCTTGCGAGAAATTGTCGCCCTCACGTCTCTGAGCGTGCGGCTCTTGCATCGGAGAGGAAGTGCACGGGAAAGGGCCGCACGCTTTGTCTGGCAGCAGCCGACACCTGGGGGGGGCGGGCTGAGGCGAAAGGCCACTGGCAGAGCGCAGAGCCATCCGCGCTCTCATTCGCCGCCTCCGGCCAGTGAGCGGAGGGAAGCGTCCTCCTGCGGACACGCGTTCCTCACTTTGCGAGCGCTTCGCACGCTCATCCGCAGCCTCCGGCTCCGCCTCCCTGTCGTCGACGAGGCGGCATCCCGCCCCCCCCCTCCCCTCTCTCTCTCTTTCTGCGACGCGCGCGCTGACTGGCTGCGAAGCGGGGGTCGGGTTGCCGTCGCGAGAGGGGCTGCTCCCGAAAAGCGGAGCGGCCATCCACCGCCGGCAGTGCAGAATGGAGGAGGGCGACGGCGGGCGCGAGAGCCGCGCAAATGGAATCGCGCTTCAATGAAACGTCTCCCGTCTCGCGTCGGCATCATGTTGTACTTCCAGTTGGTGATCATGGCCGGGACCGTCATGCTGGCTTATTACTTTGAGTGCACCGACACCTTCGGGGTGCACGTGCAGGGATTCTTTTGCTACGACACCACCTACACCAAGCCCTACCTTGGACCGGAGGAGCGCAGCGCCATCCCGCCCATCCTGCTGTACGCCGTGGTGGCGGTGCTGCCCACGCTGCTGGTGAGTCCAAGCTTCATCCCAAGCGCCGACCGCGGGCGGACGGGAAAGGGACGGCGTCCGCCGGGCGCCGCCGCCCGAAACGCCCGTCCCAACGTGTCGTCGTCGTCGTCGTCCTTCCGTCCGGTTTGAATCCTGAGAGGATGAACGCGAGCAACGGCGCGATCGAGTGCTTTGTAGCTTTGCGGTGATGTCGTCGGCTCCGCGATGACCTCCGCTCTTGCTTTGGCGCTTCGGTCGCTTGCAACTGCCGTTGGAGAAGACGGACAACTTCGACGTTGGAAGAGGTGGCAGGATTTTCCGCCTTCGCCGTGATGACACTGCTGCGCTTTCTTCGACAAATCTTCTATCATTGTGGCAAACAAAATGACACTAGGTTGAAAAAAAATATATATATATATATA